CTTTTTGCTTGTGGATATCCACTTGTTCCGTAATTCTCAACCATTTGTTGAAAAACTATCCTTTCTTCCATTGATTTGCCTTGACAACTTTGTCAAAAATTCATTGACCATAAATGTAACAGTATACTTCTCTCAGTTTCTTCCCATTGATCTACATATCTGTCTTCATGCCAGTACCCACCATGCCCCCCATCCCCAATGTTTACAGTCTCGTTTCTAGAAAAGAAAAACATACTCCATAGCCAACAGCCCCAGTGCTGCTTCTGGATTGCTGCCAACCCCTGTCTCACGGACTTGCCATACCACACCTGAAGATCTGAGATACTTAATGATTAAATCTTAGAATTTTAAAGTTGAAAATTTAACACTCATTTTGCTGATAATGAATGTCAGGCCTCCCATAGTTGTTTTTCTAAGTTAAAGTATTGCGTCCCCTGCTATAACAGAAGCATGATATCTGTCTGGGGATAACATATTTATTACTATGGAGTTACTCTTAACAATTTTCTCTAACCCAGGCCCTGGCAGAGCAGGGTTTCGAAGAGGGAAAAAAAAAAGTTTAGAGTTACAGATGTACCAAAAGGAGGGTAATAAAAAAGGAAAGGAAATATAAGGTAGATGCCAAAAATAAAGGATACCTACTTGAAATTTTTTAGGTATGCTCCAGCATCTATAGTGTACCTAGTTTCTGCATAGTTACTGCTAAAACCACCTCTTGACCTATAAGGGCTTATAGCCTTTCAGAATGGAGAATGCAGAGTCAAGAATTCAGTTCTTTTAATGGTTTAGGTTTCTCTTTTTCATTTTTAATGCATTTCTTTTGACTCTTTAATTTTAAAAGGATATACTGTATTTTATAAATATTAAACTTTCTAGCTACAGATAACAGAGAAACCAATTATAATAGTTAGAAAAGCATTGATTTGCTACAATATTTTTTAAAATAATTATCCATACGTGAGTGTACGTATGTACGTGTAGGTAGGTAGTCAGGTTATTAGTGCATGCTTGATAATGAAGTCTGCAAGATCAGGCTGTGTTTACAGCTTTTTCCTGAGGAATGTTAGCTCTGTATAAAAAAACTGTGAGTGAATGCCCTGGCCGGTGTGGCTAGTAGGTTGGGTGTTGTCCCCTGCATGAAAGGTCACCAGTTCGATCCCCGGTCAGGGCACATACTCAGGTTGCAGGTTTGATCCCGACTTAGGGTACTTACGGGAGGCAGCCAATCAATGTTTCTCTCTCTCTCTCCCTCTCCTTTCCTTTCTCTCTAAAATTAATAAAAACAGCCCTAGCTGGTTTGGCTCAGTGGATAGAGTGTCAGCCTATCTACTGAAGGGTTCCAGGTTCAATTCTGGTCAAGGGCACATGCCCAGGTGTGGGCTTGATCCCCAGTAGGGGTTGTGCAGGAGGCAGCCAATTAATGAATGATTCTCTCTCATCATTGGTGTTTCTATCTCTCTCTCCCTATCCCTTTCTCTCTGAAGTCAGTAAAAATATACTTAATAAAATAAAATCGATAAAAACATTTTTAAAAGTAAATAAATAAAAAGGTGAGTGAATGGAGTTGAATATTTTATACCTATCTTGCTCAGTTGAGCAACACTTACTCAACCTGTTAGTCGCAATTATTCAACAATCTGCCCTAGAAAGAGGAATAATAATAGGGATAGAGGTCAAGAGTTATCTAATTGTCCCTTTAAAGAGAGTTTGGGAGCTAAGTAACAAGGTAAAGCAAAATATTCTAGGCCAGCAATTTTCAACCAGTGTGCCTCAAGAATTGTGTGTTTTTTTTTACGAGACAGGATGGGAAAAGAGAGAGAGGGGGAAAGAGAGAGAGGAAGGAACATTAATTGGTTGCCTTTGGTAGGTGCCCCAACCAGGGGTTGAAATGGCAACCTGGTATGTGCCCTGAATGGAATAAAACCCACCACCTTTTCGTGTACGGGACAACACCACAGAGCTATACTGGCCAGGGCAATAATTTTTAAAACATGCAATACCTGCCTGTTTAGTCTGGGGCACTGACCTCTTTTTCCTTAAATTGTTAAATTAAAAAAAAAAACAAACACAAAAAACAGCAATAGCTATCTGGTGTGAATGAATCAAAATTACACTTTTCTTTTTTTAAGTATTCCTTCTGTTTTCCAGATTGGCAAAAAAATATATTTTTTGGTGTGCTGCAGAATTTTAAAAACTAATTTATGTGTGCCATGAGATGAAAAAAGGTTGAAAAGTGCTGTTCTAGGTTAATTAGACTAGGCTATTATGTACTCTTTATTAATAATTATTTACTCTTTAGAGATTATTTTTATAAGTAGTTGTTCTATAGACTACTTTGAATACTTTTTGCATAACAGTATTTCTGATGTTAGGATTTCTTGATATTGCATGTGAATTCTTCAGTAGTAAGATATGAAATACAGAGGGACAAATAATACATTGCAGGGTTAGTGTTTATTCCTGAAAGAGGAGGGAAACCCTGTTATATATAACAATTGGTTTCACAAAATTTAAACCAAATATTGCAGAATGTTTGGATTTGTTAAATCTTGAGGAGAGAGGAGGGCAGATATACGTTGGGGTGGGGGGAGAGGGGGGGAGAGAAAGAGAGAGAGAGAGGTGAGAGAGACACCTATTGATTGATAGCCTCCTGAACGTGCCAGACTCAGGGCCAGGATCGAACCTACAACTCAGGTACGTTCCCTGGACCAGGAATCAAACTTGAGACCCTTTGGTGCTGGAGCTGATGCTCCAACCAGTGAGTCACACTGGTCAGGAATAGCAGTGAATATTTTTAAGGATATGATTACCAGAAGATACTGAAGAGAGATTCAGGGAGTAATAGAACAATTTCTAGATTGCATATTGGAAAATATGGGTTCTCTTCCCAACTCTGCTAATAATAAACTTTGAATCTTGGCAAATCCCTGTTTTAAGTGGGTCTTCTTTGGGATTCTGATCATGGTCCAGTTCTCACTTTACATATTCCTTTATGTTGATCTCATTCACTTCTATGACTTCACTTGCCATTTATGATCCATTGGTTTTCAGTGTAGTAAAAACTGAATCTAAAAATGAAGATTTGCCCTGGCCTGGTGACTCAGTTCAGTGTTGGAGTGTCATTGCATGCACCAAAAGTTGAGTGTTCTATCCCCGGTTGGGGTGTGTATGGGAGGCAACCAGTCACTGTTTCTCTCTCTCTCTTTCCCTTCCTTCCTTCCTCCTTCCTTCCTTCCTTCCTTCCTTCCTTCCTTCCTTCCTTCCTTCCTTCCTCCCTCCCTCCCTCCTTCTCTCTCTCTCTCTCTCTCTCTCTCTCTCTCTCTCTCTCTATTAAAAAAATCAATAAACATATCCTCAGATGAGGATAAAAATAAATAAAATTACTGACTTATGGTAATATAAATTATTGTAACAAAAGAACCTAAATTTAAGCATGCTATAAAATCTTGAAGGATCCTCTTTGTGTTTATTCATTTAAATGTCACCACTGCTTTGAGGAAGTTAATAAAAGGGTTTTAATAAGTATGTACAGAACATCAGCAGACACACTTTAAAAAATCACTAAAATGTAATTTTCTGAAGAGCTTCATTCATTGTTAAACTGCATCTATTTTTATATATTGGTTCTGACACTGAAATTCTAGAAGCAGATAAAAACAGCTTTTTTTTTCCAAATAAGGAACTAAGATAGTCCTTTGACCCATCACAGTAATGCTCAGGTAAACAGATGTGCTAGGATGATCCATAATTTCAATTTAGAAAAGAGGAGACCACTTCGCTACCGTTATTATTAATTTTTAATAATGAGAGATCACTAATTTTTTTTCTGTATCATCTTGTTAGTGACTGACTACAGGATTGTCATGGTCACTTTCTATCCTTATTGCGACAGGGCCTTGCTCACCGTCACTTTGAACAGCACAGAATAACTGGGTTCTGGTATTGCCAAGGTCGGCATGTATTCAGGAGGTCTCTCCTAATAAAACCAGGTCTGATGTTTCTTCAACAGAAGCATCAGTATGTTTTCCTTTTAATAACCATAGTCACACTTTTCACCTTAGGTGTAATATAAAAAATGTTACAATTGCTTGTTCCTTATTTGCTCTCGTTGGCCCTTCACTGTGGGACTGCTGTGTACAGACCTTTCACCAGAATAGAAATGGAGAGAGAAACTCCTCCTTTGCTCTAAGACTAAGAGTCAAAACCGGCTTTCTTCATTTTTACATAAAAACATGTCTCTAAATTCCTACCTATTCCTACCTCCTTCCTAATCATAATCACCTCTCCCTGCTCAGAGTGAGCATTTTTTTCTTCCTGCTAGAGTATTTAATTTACACACAAAGCAGTACATACTTTAAGAATTTCATTTCTGCTCTTTTGTTTCCTTTTTATTGAATTTATTGGGGTGACACTGGCTAACAAAATTATACAGGTTTCAGGTGCATCATTTCAGCTCTTTAGAATAAAACATATAAAAGAGCATATTTCTAAAAGGGATTTTTAAGTAAATTGATGAGAGCCATGGCCAGTGTTTGGTGTAGACTGTGAAAAAGAGCCCTTTTCAGACTGCACTTAAGGTGTTTGACTTCGTGACTTTTCTTTGAGTAAAGTGCTCTTATACATTCCTGTCGGATACTCACTAATCTCGCATTACTTGTGTGCACCCCAAGAAGAATGTGCATGTGGTATCTGTTGGGGTCATTTCTGTTTTGAACCACCGATGGCTGTGCTGCACCAAGGCTCTGGGGTGTCTTGGGGAAGCCCATCAATCTAGGGCTGGTGATGGTAGAGGGTTACCGATTCTCTCAGCTTCTCCTGTATTAAGTTTAATAACTGTACCTAATTCTCTTCATTTGTCATTTGAGATGTTATATAGCATGAAATGTGTTCTATTCAGAAACTTGTAAGTAATGGAACTGAATTTATATCTGACTAGTTCAAAACCGATCTTCATTATCCTTTTGTTAATTCATGCTTTCTTAATGCACTCTTATCCACAGGGTGAAGATACTGGAATAAAAAGTAAAGTCCATTATATTGCCAAGGAGATCATGAGCTCAGAGAAAGTGTAAGTATCTAGTTTATGATTCAGAAGACTCTGTTTTCCCCATTGACTCATTTAAAACATTTCTTTCATTGATGTTTTTTACAGGTTTGTGGATGTGTTAAAACTTTTGCATATCGTAAGTATCTGCTAATATTTTCTTAAAGTCTAAGACTATCGTCTTTTACATCTTTTCCTAGCCACCAAAATTTTCAACATAACTTAAATATACTTAAACTAATATGTATATTCATGTATGTGCTTTCTAATATATGGTTTTATTTTTAAATACAGAAGTTTTCTAAAATGTGTGATATACCCAAATGATTTCTTAAAAATAGAGAGCCTTTATAACTTTGTCTCCAAAGTCTTTATACTTTCTGTCTTCATAATAGTTTTCAAAGTGATAATATTTCCTCTTGGATATTTGCAGAAGTCTGCCATTAGTAGAATTTTGTATTAGCAGTGTATACAGAATGTCATGATCAGTGTTCAGTTCTGTTCTTCTCTCTGAATAAGCTCATAAAAAGAGACTTAAAATAGACATTTTTACAACTAACTTTTTACGTTCTAGTTTCAGTTTTTATAATTGTCAACTTGAACAAACCTGTTGGGAAACAATTAGGGTATGTGTCTGGCTACATGTTCATTTTTCTCATGCATTCCTTTGTATCTGCAGGTTTTTACAAGTTTCACTACTCATTGGCAGCTAAAGTGCTTTTAGTATTACTTTATTCCAATTGCATTTTGGCAAAATATTAAAACTTAACAGAAGAAAGGGATAAGGTAGAGGAAACAATGAAAAAAAGAAATTGAAGTGAAACTTTGCTTAGATGGTGTAATTATTAACATCATTGTAAACTTAATTGCTGAGAAGTGGTAGGCTCACAAACTATACACACATTTATGTCTCTGCAAAAATGTCCTCCTTTTATTAGGCACATATGAAAAGTGAGTTTTACTTGGTGATTCACATTCACCAAATGATTTCCTTGTACTCTATATTTGGTACAACAGAAACGTGGAGGGCTAATTCCGGTGTGAAAAATATCTAGCTTTAGAAACATTTTCTAAAATAATTCTTAACAATACTAATTTTTTTTGTGAGATATTTCCCTGTGAATAGTTTCTCACAGAACTCTTGACTATATTGGTAAGTTTTCTTTTGCAATTCATTAAAGAATTATAACAATACTAGAGGCCTGATTCATGAAATTCATGCAAGAATAGGCCTTCCTTCCCCCGGCTGCCGGCACCGGCTTCCCTCTGGCACCCAAGACCGGACTTCCCTCCAAGACCCGGGCTTCCCTCTGACCACTGGCAGGTACCTGGGACCTAGGTTTCCTTTGCAGCCCTGGCTACATCTGGAATGTCGTGTGGAAGGACATCCGTTCTAATAAGCATATTACGCTTTTGTTATTATAGATTTGACCACCCAGACACCTGATAGACATGTTTAAATAGGATCTCTCCAAGGAAATTTTAAGTATCTACAAGTCAGTTGATAAGCTCTATTGTTAATAGAGGCAAAAAATGTTATGGAGTCAAAAAGACTTGAGCTTGAACTTCAGTGCACTATTTTAGCTAATCTTGCATGGAATAGGTGTTGAAGATTTCGCTGTGAACAACACAGAGTCCCTGTCCTCATTGGGCTAAGAGTCTAGTGTATTGCTTCTCACACTATTGTGAGGGACAGGATTTAAAAATTTCCCATACATGGTGGACCAAAGCTTTTGTAAAATACAATAAAAATGTCATGGCCATATCAAATTGATATAAAAGTTTTATAATCCTTACTCGAGGTCTGGTGCACAAAATTCGTGCGGGGGGGGGGGGGGGGTGTGGTCCCCTCAGCCCAGCCTGCACCCTCTCCAATCCGGAACCCCTTGGGGATGTCCAGCTGCCGGTTTAGGTCCGATTCCAGGGATCGGGCCTAAATCGGCAGTCAGACATCCCTCTCTCAATCTGGGACCACTGGCTCCTAACTGCTCACCTGCCTGATAGCCCCTAACTGCCCCCCCCTGCTGGCCTGGTCACCCCCAACTGCCCCCCCCCCCCCGCCAGCCTGGTCACCCCCAACTGCCCCCCTCTGCTGGACTGGTCACCCCTTACTGCCCTCCCTGCCAGCCTGGTTGCCCCCAACTGCCCCCACCCCCCGCCACCGGCCTAGTTGCCCCAAACTGCCCCCACTGCCGGCCTGGTTGCCCCGCGCAGCCTGCTGTTCAGTCGTTTGGTCATCCCTCACTAACCCCCCTGCTGGCCTGGTCACCCCACGCAGTCTGCTGTTTGGTCGTTACTGTGACGGCATCCCAGAAAATTTGCATATTCCTCTATTATTAGCATAGATTCTTACTTTTTGACTAATATCTTTGCTGACCAATAACAATTCGTGGACCATACTTTGAGAAGCATTGACTTGGTAGATTCTGTTTCTTACCAGCTATGTGAATTTTAGAAAGTAGTTTAACCTTTTGGATCTAGCTTTTCTCATTTATAAAACTAGAGGCACGATGCACGAATTTGTGCATGGGTGGGGTCCAGCTGGCCCGCCCAGATCGGGCCGATTGGGCCAGGCCAGCCACAGGGAGGGGACACGGGTGGTTGGCCGACTGGCCCCACCCCCTGGTCGAACTCCCAGTTGAGGGGACAATTTGCATATTAGCCTTTTATTATATAGGATGGGGATAAAAGTACCCATCTTTCAGGTTGTGAGGACTCAGTGAAATAAGATGATGTGAAGAGTCTAGCATTGCACACGGGGTATGGTAGATTCCCAACTTACCTTTCCATTACCCTCTTCTTTTCCATCTTCCATTTTAAGAGCATCAGTGAATGGGAAGCATTCATTCTATTTCCACACAGTTAACTTTTCACTTTTTCTAGTGCCTTTTCCCCCCTGTACTAAAATTTCATTTTAATGAAGGAAGTTCTGATTCTTGTAGGCAGGGAGGCAATTAAAAGCTTTACCAGTTTATTTATTTGGTTAATTAAAAATATATGTTCTGTTTTTACCTATATTTTTGAAACAAATCATAAAAATGGATAATCAGACCGATTTCCCTAGATGATCTTGGGCTCTTCCCAGCTGATGTTGAATAGAGTGAGTCATTCATAATCCACATTAACTTGTATATTTTCAAAATCTCCTAAGCCTTTAATGTCAGGGTGAGAATAGATCATCTGCTGACCTCATGTTAACATTCTGTCTGGTGTGTGCAAATGTTAACTCAGCAGAACCCAATTCTAATGGGTGTCATAACAACAGAGCATTAACCAGGTGTTAGCCTTACTAGGAAGGGCTTGTGACGGATAATGCAGGTGAAGCCAAGGGCATCTTTCTTCCTTCCAATATTCCCACCATGTCATTAAAGCTCATATTTACTCTACCAAAAGTACTCCATGAAGGTAGCACAGGGGCCCTTTAACCTGAGTCCTGCTATCTGATTTCATCTAAATGAGTTAACTCCTGTTATATGATAGAATATGACTGATTTAAAATATGCAAATAACATGCTTTAGATAATCCAGTGGGTGTTTTTTTGGAAATCAGCCATCTATCCAAGTGGCTTGTAAGAAGCTATTGTTTCAGTTATACATAATTTCCCATGAATAGTTTTCCATATTAGAGTCTAGAATAGGTTAATAGATCTTTCTGTGATGACAGAAATGTTCAATATTGGTGTTACACTATGGCAGCCATATCTAAAAAAAATGTTAATATGTCCCTGTAGCTTACTAACACTTCTTTGTTCGGAATTTTGTAATTAACTAGGTGAAATAGATCAGAGGAAAAAAATTTTTAATCTAAACAAATGAATCTCATCATTTTAGTTATTACACTGAGAGGAATAGACTTGAGTGGAAGGCACACGATTTAAAATATACTTAAAATTTTAAGAGCCAGTATACTCAGTTGAGGGCTTTGATTCATCTACCTGATGTTTGGGGGCGGGGGGGGAGGGGGGCGGCGCGGGGCTGGGGATTGCACCTGCAGAGGCAGTGGCAAGACTTTATAATTACTGTATTATGTGGTACATACTCTTCAGTATATATCATGAGCTCCTGAACTTTGAACTGGATTTTAAAAAAAATAAAAGGTCAAATGTGCATATTGTCTCTAAGTCAGTACTCTGATGAGTCCAAAGAGAAAGGCTATTCCTAAAAGTCATTCTTTCCCATTTCAAAATGGTAGTGCTATCCATATAGCTGCAAAAGCCAAAAACTAGAACTTGGTCTTCATTTCTCCATCTCACTTACTTCTCCAGCCAACCCATAGCAAATCCACTGATTCTACTTCCTCTTTCCTTTTGCCAACTTATCAAATCTCTTAATCAACAGCCTCCTAATTGGGCTTCCTATTTCCATTCTTGCCTCCCTTCCAATATGTTCCTTATATGATTTTTTTTCCTTATAAAATTTTAAGTGATTTTCTTAAAATACAGAGTGTCCCCCAAAAATGTATACATGCACCTTTGAATAATTATAAAGGCAGTGTTTATTAAAATACATTTCATTTTCAAAATTGAGCTGTCAGCTGTTGAAGTGTGTGTACATTTTTGGAGGGACACCCTGTATATAACAGATCATGCCACTCCTCTGCTTAAAATCCCTTAAGTGACTCCCAGCCATTAAAAATAAAGTCCAAGCTATTTACCACGACCTGTAAGTAGGACAACCATATGTCCTTGTCTGCTTTTCACAGTCCTGGTTATTGTCGTGGCATAATATTAATAGAACTCCTTTTCACTGTCAAAAATGATCTGGTTTGGACAGTAAATTATGGCCCAGCCTATAAGGTTCTGTGGCCTCTGGTAGTGAGATCAGAGATTGTAGAAGGGTGGCATTCTTTCACCATTGACCATATTCTGGTCATACGGGTCTCCTTTCAGTTTTTGTTTAGCACTTAAGGTTATTCCTGCTCAGAGCTTTTGCTAATGCTGTTTCCTAGAATGTTTATTCTTTCTTCATTTTGATCATAGCTAGTTTTTTCTTTATCCTTCCAATCTGGGTTTAACATGACCTCCTTAGAAAGCTCTATTTTGACCATCTTTTCTCTTTAACTCCCCTTGTTTGTTTTCTTCTTGGCTGTAAATATATAATTTGTATACTTGTTTACCTATTTAGTGTTTTCTCTACTAA